TCAAGGATCTGACGCAACGTAAAAATCTGATCAATACATCCACAGCCAGGCCGGAATCCGGCTTGCTGTTCACGGATGTTGCTTTCTTAAAGCTATCAGACGTGACGATCGGGATCAAACGGATCCGGCGGTGGTTTTCGTAATCGCTGCGGGATCCTTTCTTGAAAATGGGAACGATCAGTGATTCGCCCCAAGTTCAGTTGTTACAACCATTAACCATGCACTTTCGTGCGCCGGTTTCGGTTGCCCATTTGAATAAAAGAGCGAAATAAAATTGGAATGTCGAAGCAAATTCAAGCGGAAGATGGGGAATTCATATAGAGTGGTGTTCGGAAAACAACGAGTGGATGCACGAGCGCCACTGTTTGCGACACGCAGCCATATCACTCAGTGTAGCTAACCATCGGTGACCATCATCCCGAGGTCCCCAACCAGACCCTGCCATATCACTCAGTGTAGCTAACCAACGGTGACCATCATCCCGAGATCCCCAGCCAGGGAGTTTAACGGAGCCTATGTGACCTAGTCTCCTGGTTAGGGTTTTCATACTCTCATGCCAGGTCTTAGCTTGACCGCCCTTCGTTTTTTTCCAATCGCTGCCAGCCTTGGCAAACATCGTTCGCCGTGGCAACCTATCTGGTGACATGCGTAGCACATGTCCCAATTAGCGTAATCTATCTATTCGCCCCAAGACGAAGGAATGTGCTCTTGCTTCCAAATGTTGCGCAGTAGCGTAGTAATAGAAGTTACCAGGTTATTATCTCCCATCTTGAAAAGAGTGGGAGCTCACCAGGTCCTGTTGCCTTTCCTCGCTTCAGAGCTTGAATGCAAGACCGAACTTCTGCTTCCGTTGGAGGATCGCATGACACTGCCCACGGAGCTTCGGTCGGAGATGAAGCAGCCTGGTTAGCACTAGGCCAGCTGAGCTGTTCGCTGAAGTATTCCGCCCAGCGATCGAGTCGTTGATCCCTATTGTGAATAGCTCGTCCCCTCTTATCGCAGACTATTTCACTAACTGTGGTTCGCCGACCTCCCGTATTGCGTATCAGTCGGAACAGTCTTTGGCTATTCCCTGATGCAGCTGCTATTTCCATTTCACTAGCCATTGTTGCCCACCAGTTCTCACGGTCCTTAAAGAGGCTCCTCGTGAGCTGACGTTGTAGATGCCACCTAACTCTATTTTTATCCTAGCAAGTCGGGATTTGTCGTTTTTGCTCCATCAGGGCTACTGACTCCTGAGATATCCAATGCCTCCGATGGGTTTGAGACTCAGACCCACAAGCAACATTCGCTATGGAATGCATTGCTCGCCTAATCTGATCCCACTGCTTATCTTCATCATCAGGTTGAAGAGCGCTTAGCTCACGCACTAGCTCTGATTCATAGCGTACACGAACTGCTGGAACAGATAGTCGATGATGAGCTATACGAGTTTGCTGGTTTTGTGGCCGATCAGTCGGACAGTGAATTGCATCAAAACTAATGCGTGGTCAGACTCAACGCAGGTGGTCCAATAAGACCTGCAATTTTGCACTGAGCCACGCCAACGGTAACTTACTGCTGTGTGGTCGATTTGAGTTAGCGTACCAGTTGAACTGGAGCGCCACGTTGCCGTCCGTCGAGAGCTCTGTCGGAAGTTGGTGCTTGATAGGAACAGATGGTCTGCGCAGAACTGAAGAAGTCGATCGCCGTTATCTGTTCGCTGGCAGGGTGGAGCACAACCACCTCCTAGGCAAGCTTCTGATGCGCCCAGTTTTCCAACCTGCACATTGAAGTCACCTGCAAGTACAACTATGTCGGAGCCTCGACTCATCCCAGTGAGATCGGTGAGTTCATCGTAGAAAGCGTCCTTTTGGGTATCAGAACTGCAATTGGTCGGT